ACACACACACACACACACACACACACACACAACGACACACACACACACACACACACACACACACACACACACACACACACACACACACACACACACACACACACACACACACACACACATTCACGCGTGTAACTACACGCGAAAAAAACACGTGTAAAACACTCACGCCACGGACGACGTACACGCGTGAAGCACGCACGGGGCATTGATCGTTTACACTGCAGGCGTAGTACATCGCGTGTATTCATGCGTTTGATCATCGCAAGCACCGACTGCTATATATCGTACATTCTAAGCCCAATCCTACACGGGACGCGAACGATATCTTTCTACGATATATTATCGCGATTTTATCACGATATCTTGTAGTCGCACACGCGACTATCTCGCGAAGCGTCTGCCGAATTCTTGTCGCCTATCGTCTGCCGGACGCTGATATCGTCAGCGGTTGCGTTCCACAGCATCCGTAATCACAGTCACGCATCTCCGCGCTCGCGCATATAGCGGAGTGGTCTGATAGCGGAGTATGGCGGGCGGTTGCGGTGAACCTCGCAGCACGGCGTGCTGTATTTACTATTGTTCGCGCCCGCGTTATCATATAATTCGTGAAGGATGAGCGTTGGCAATGGCGCCAGAGAGAGAGAGAAATCAGCAGAGGGCAAAGGAAACAGAGAGACAGCGAAAACCCGAGGTTGAAACAGGGTGAGGGAGTAAGAGAGCGGGCGGCAGAAAGGCGAGAGATATCATAAGATGGATTAGCAGAGGGAGCAAACGCGAATGACCGAGAAACAGAAGCGGAATCAGAAACAGCAACACAAAGAGAGGGTAGGCGAAAGCAGAGAGAGTGTGTGAGAGAGAGAGAGAGAGAGAGAGAGAGAGAGAGAGAGAAAAGGGCATACAAAGCAGGTGACGCTAACCTACTGCAGGCATTCGCAGACGCTGCGTTGCATAGCGACGTTGCGATGACCGCGTCGTGTTGCTACAACGGCTATACAATTCGATAACGCAGAACGCTTCCCCCTTAACAATTGCATTACGCGTATCGGCCGATTGCCATAATTAGATTTTTTCCTCGCTCGCAATGCGGATATCATCGTATGAAAACAAGGTCGAGAGCATCCCTGTACGTCGATGACCTTTCCTGCAGCAGAACATTTACACTGATCTTTGAATTCTCTATGGAGTTCGCGCTTGCCTCTGGGGCATGTGGCTTTTCACTTCCACTGATCGTAGCTGCTCCGTGATTTTGGGTTGCGATCCAGATGAGATGATTGTCGAATGCATTCCGTTAAATACGGAAACGAACAAACGAAGGTAACTTCCAGCGCATGTATTTCTCTCATCATCTCCGATCACAGTAGGAAGTGGTCTAGCTCTTCGGACCGATACGTAAACATTGTTTGGGTCCGGATGTAAAATACATGGACGCTGCCGCCAACGACAATGTTCCAGTGATATTATATCAGCATTGTTTAATTATTATTTGTCACAGTAGGAAATAAAGTCTCACCTGACACTGTAGGGAATAAAGTCTCACCTGACACTGTAGTAAATGAAGTCTCACCTGACACTGTAGTAAATGAAGTCTCACCTGACACTGTAGGGAATAAAGTCTCACCTGACACTGTAAGGAATAAAGTCTCACCTGACATTGTAGAGAATGAGGTCTCACCTGACACTGTAAAGAATCCGACCATCCGGGTAGAGCCGTAACAGCACATTCGGCATGACGATGTTGTGGAAGTGACCCTGCTTCTCGTTGTAGAAGAACAAATCTGGTCTCCAGATCTGCTGCGGGTCGGGCAGATTGATCCACTGGAAGAAGGTGCTATTGTAGGACAGACGCACGTCTTTCCACTGTTCACGGAACGTAATTTGGCAACTGTACTCCTGAAAAATAGCAGCAGTGGGACATTGCACGTGTAGGTATGTGGTATCGGAAGCAAGGAAAATCACATCAGAGCCACTAACATGCAGAATGCATGGATGAACCGTCTCGTATTACGGTAGTTTACGTTTACACTCTCGTTACATTCCATCATTCGGTCCACCACGCGCTGCACTTGAATTTACAGCAAATTATGATGGCAAGACTTGTATTACAAATTTATATTACTGCAGTGTCAATATCAGCCGTAATCGTATGCGTGCGTACGTACGATCGCGTGCGTCTGCGCGCGTACGCGTCATGCATGGAAGTCGTGCTCTACGCGCGCGTCGTAAAACATTTACAAGTGCGATTCCCCGGAGATTGTAGGCTCGTCTGCTCAGCCGCGTCTCTCTCTCTCTCTCTCTCTCTCTCTCTCTCTCTCTCTCTCCTCCTCTCTCTCTCTCTATATATAAGATATATATACTAAATATTATATAATACATATTATATCTATATAATTATATATATAGATTAGAGACGAAAGAACGAAGGGGAGGAGTGTGTGTATGTGTCCAGACGACGAGAGAGACGAGAGAGAAGAGCGAAGGAGAGAAAGAGAAAAAGAGAGAAGGAAGAGGAAGAGACGGCAAAGAGCAGAGAGAAGCTGAGGAGAAAGTAGAGAGAGAGAAAGAGAGAGAGAGAGAGATACGAGAGGATATACATACATCATGCCACTGCAATGCATGCATGCATGCATCCATACATGACTGAACCATACATACATACAGACAGTAGATACATACATACATACCATACATACATCTACAGAGTGAACATAAGCATACATAACATACATAGCATACATACAGTAACAGATAAACATACATACATTTACGAGGTAACATAAGAGAGACGTGAGACGATACGTACGTACGGACGTACGTACGTACGTAGGTAGACGGACGGCACGCACGCACAGCACGGCTCGAGCGCAGAGGAACGGCCAGCGCGAGCTGCAACGCAGCGCGACGCAAGAGAACGCACGCCCGAACCAGCGAGACAACCCCGTAACGCAGACGCGGACGCCACGCAACGGCACGCACGCACGACCGCGATGCGGCGATATCGGTCGTCAGAGACGAGGACATCGACCGAGCAGGCAGAGCAGAACGAAGACCAGCGCACGCGGAGCGCCCCAAGTGCTGTATGTGGCCAGAGAACGCGACGCACGAGCACGGCACGAGACCAGCGAGAGCAGCGAACGCGACACGCCAAGGGAGAGAAACGACCACCGCGCAACGCACGCACGCACGCACGCACGCACGCGAGACGAGCAACAGAACGACACAACCACCACCACACACACAGAGAGCATAACACACAACCACTGACAACACACACATACATACATAATAGAGACATAGACATACATACAACAGAACGATGAGACAGAGACAATACGGAGCACGGGAGGTACAGACATGAGCTGAGAACAGTACCGTGCGATGATGATAGATAGATAGATAGATAGATAAGAAATAGATAGGATAGACTAGATGAACGGTGTGTGATGGATGGATGATGGATGGATGCATGGCATGGCATGATGGCTATTGAGAGAGAGTAGAGGAGGTGTGCGTGTCTTGTGTTATGGTGAGTGGAGGATGGTGTGTGACAGAGAGAGAGAAAATGGGAGAATGGGAGAGATAGTGAATGGGAAGAGTGAAACCAGAGAGGAGTGTATTTAGAGTGTGGTGCACTATGGAGAGAGAGAGAGGGATGGATGGAAATGATGGTATGGATAGGATGGATGATGGATGGATGAGGCATGCTAAAATGGTGCTGCGCGCACGCCTCGAACTAGGATGGCATGGATGGATGGAATGGATGGTGCAATGGATGGATGATGGATGCCGGATATGGATGGATGGATGCGATGGATGTGATGGATGGATGGATGGATGTGATGGAGGATGGATGCGATGGGATGGATGGCATGGATATGGATGGATGGTATGGATGGATGGCGTGATCATGGATGGATGGATGGATGGATGGATGGATGGATGGATGGATGGATGGATTGCGTGTGGAATGAGATGGGGGAGAGATGAGAGAACCATGCGATGGGTAGATGGACTGAAGAGGGGAGTGTGTATGTGTATGTGCAGGAGAGGATAGAAGGTATGCGCGTATGGGATGGGGGTGATGGTGTATGGATGTGTGAGTGTGAGAGGAGAGAGAGAATGCGAGATGGCATGGGTGATGAATGCGTATGGTTTGTTTAGTGGCTGTGTGACAGAGAAAGAGAATGGGAGGATGGCGACATGGATGGAGCACGAGGAGAGAGAGAATGGATGTGATGGATGGATGGATGGGGAGAGAGAGAGTGAAGTGAAGAGAATGGATGGAGAGCGAGAGCGATGAATGGGAACCGAGACATGGAGGAAGGATGCATGGATGGCAGGCTATGGGATGGGATGGGCGCGCGCATTGGCGCGTGATGTGTGTGCGAGATGAGTGAGGAGATATGAGGATGGTGAGACGAATGGCTATGGATGCGATGGGAGTGAGGAGAAGGGATGGGAGAGAGGGAGGTGTGAGTGGTGTGTATGTTGTGGATGGATGGATGGATGGATTGGTGCGATGAACATGCATGATGGGATTGGGCTGAGACGAGAAAGAGGAGAGAGATGTCGCTTCTTTTGTTGTGTCAACACGCGCGCCACGCGTGAACGTGTGCATGGGCTTGTCCAAAGATGTAATGGAGTCTCTAGACAATTCCTGCCCTGTGTCGTTCCATGCGAGTGCATACGGGTTTTTAGCGGACACTTTCCTTGTTACCTAAAACTGAACTGGTAGTAAGACTGTATCATGTATTCGACGTTATATATGAGCGGGCGGGTCAGTGTCTACCGCTATGGGAACTGCTTACTTTACGTTAAGCGTACGCCGTGTACTGCCGGTTTGTATACTAGAGCCGTTAATTATAGGTTCCGATATCTACGCTACCACGTACATATAGCTTGAGTGGATGTAGGATGTAAGCCTTGGTGGACATGATTGGTATTACAAGTAGGTTTGTAGATGGAATGGGATGGATGGTAGTAATCAAGCCTGAGCGTGAGGTGCGCGAGGAAAGGAGATATGCGGAATTCACAGGAGATACGCAGTGAAGTACTACTACGAACTTTCTCAAAAGAAATATGTGGTCAAAATACGGTAGCGGTGACTCCGGTGATCAAGGTACCCCGAAAGTGGGCGCCTCAGATGGATGATGAACTTGGAATAAGTTGCACTGAGCGATGGATGAATGGCCAGCTCCTGCACCATGGATGACTCGGCCCACATGGCTGCCGCCACCCAGCTACTCCAGCCCGTCTTATGCTTGGACTGGTGGCATCCGTGATGCCTAGAACGCAGTAGCAACCCGGATGACGCGTGATGATAGGCGTCTACAACAGTTCAGTCAGCTGATTGCGGGATCGAGTGGCACTGCATGCATAGCTGTGATGCATGGGGGGAAGGTGCAAAGATGGGCGACAGCGAGTCGTGTGCACTGGAATGAGCTTGTGATGGCGTGGTGAGCGGGCTGCCATGAGAGTTCATGGGGATGGATGGTGTCATAGTGAGCATGGAATGGTGCCGAAAGAGGCTGCATGAGTAATGCATATCGTAGTTTCTGGGGAAATGACTCTATGATGAGCAAGTAGACGGTGTACTTCATTGTAGCCAAAGGAGAGGGGCGTCATAGCCACGCAAGCTATAGGCACCATATGGGATGTCCTCATGGCCAAGCACTGGCACTGCTGCCATCAATAGGGTGCTGACGTCGATAGTGTGGCAGCGCATGCGGCAGAGTCCGACTGGGGTCTTCTGCGTCCCGGCATTCACCGACTTGCGTATTCACCCACCGTCACGCCAACCGGCGTATTGGCCACGCTGCCCGCATGGCAATTGCCAATACTAGCCACGATCGCCGGCCGCGTCTATTTTCTTCCGTACCGCAAATGCACGAACAGGGTTCCTCTCGCATTAGGTGGCCTGCTGCTTATGATCTATGGGTTGCTCTGACGCGAATCACTGTGACATCGGATAAAACCTCAAAACACCGAGAACAAACGCCGCATTTAGTTGAGAAATGGAATGTGTTTTAGCTGAATATGCGAGTCAGGCGATATTGAGTAAGTAAAGTTGGTAAAACACACATTTACAATCTAGGATGGTTGAATATAGGAATATACATATCACCTTTATAAGTTACAATCTGTGTGTAACTTGTGTTATTTCACTTAACCTCTTAAGTTGATGAGAGGTTTGGGCTCTCGTTAAATACGGTCTCGTAACACCTTACTACATTACGTATGGAGCTAAATAACATACGGAATGACTGTGGTGTAATATTGGTATAATACCAGCTAACGCAAAACATCCCTATGTACATTACAAATGGCAGTGATCTGGACTGGTGGGACCCCAAAACAAATGCGATTTATTGTGGATATATGTTTGTGATGTATTTCTTGAAATGATTGGTGAGCATTCTAAGCACAACATAGGTAATACTGTGCAAAGGGATGGGCATTCATCAAGCATACATGAACGTATATAATTGAGTGTATGACTCTCATGGATGGATTACATAAGAATAATCAGATTTGATAGGGGTTTTCCACGTACGCAAAAAACTAATGCGATGGCCCATGGTAGGTGCTTTATTTACGAAGTGCCCACAAATAGAAATACATTTTATAGTAAATACACAAGAATAATTAAAAATGGACGGTAATGGCAGTTGATTAAACTCTATGAGATCATAATGTGGTATGGGCAGATTTGGACAAACTTATGGAATGAGTTTTTGCTCTGCTATGGTAATGTATTGAGGTATGGGTCCATGGCGCATTGGTTTCATTGGATATAAAGGAACCATGAGCTACATAGTAAGAGCATTGGTTGTAAAATGAACTATGTTATTAAATGGTATGGAGAAGGTGCGGAATGATGAATAACGTAATAGCAGCCTTTCAAATGCGGCCAAAGGATGAGTGGCACGTAATACCAATGGACTTGTTCTCATGGAATGTGCAGGATGGATGGAGTGGTATGGTTTGTTTTGGTTTGTTTATCAACTGCGTTGTTCTAATGAGTTAAACATTAACTTATAGTGGAGATTGGTGACAGATGGTCTACTCTCAATGCGATTTAACTGTAGAATAGACTAGTGAAAGACTCGGGATGGCGCCAAATGGTTTGAGTGATGGACTGGACAGATTGTTGCTGATGAATCAGATGGTGATGGAATACTGCAATCGATGGATGGATGGGATGGATATTGAATAATGACGATTCATGGATCATGTGAACTGATGGATCTATGGAAACTAATAACGATTGGTTGATGACAGACAAGTGGTACGGCCTAACAATGGCTGTATTGGATGCGATCTGGCTCTTATGGAGGCATTAATATGGTAATCCGAGTCACATGGCAGCATGGATGTGTGGATGAATAGGAATTGAGATTATGGTATGGATGGATGCGATGATGGATGATGTATCATGGTATGTGATGATGGAAATGGAAAAAGTATGAGTGATATAAGGTCGTTTGTAATAGGCTATAATGTCAACCATGGAAACATATGGATTGGATGGATGATGGATGCGAATGGCTGAACTCATGGATGGATGGAGATTGTTTCACTGATGGAGGGATGGATGGAATGGTATGTGAATGGGATTGGTTGGTCTGATGGAAGCAGCGATGGATGGGATGGGTAAAAAAATAATGGGATACGAGATGGTATACATACTCCGAAAATGTGCAACATGGATTGAATAGATGGGGATTCGATGGATATTTTTTGTATGGTTTTTATGTGTATTGGATGTTTTTATTGTTTATGGTAGGTATGGCGATGGTTTTTTTTTTTCATGAGTTATGGGTTGTCTGAGTGGGATGGGCTTACATAGGTAGGTAATGTTGATCTAACTATGGCATGTGTTACTATAGAGCGTGCTATGAGGATGGTGCCTGCATTCGTGAATGGAGGGATGAGAACTGGGTCACTATATGGAGGCCGATGGATCGAGTGGATGGATGGATTGGATGGAGTGGAGTGGAGCATATAGATGGTCTTATACGTCCTTGCGAATGGATACATGGAGATGGATGGATGGGACATGGCGAATGGATGATGAAGGAGGGGGCTAATGCGTACTCATGGGTAACGTCGGCAGATGGTGAGCGGATGGTGTACATGCGTAATGGCTAATGGTATGGTGGAAGTTAGGACTGATTCATGGAGGATGGACCGTATGCGATGACAGAGTGAGTGGCCAAGCCAGTACATGGCTACAAAACAATGGCTCAATGGGATGTGTTCTAAAGAATATTAAACCTAGAATCCCAATGATCAATTTACAATGCATATAGGGTAAAATCATGCCGATGAAGTTACAAATGGAAGAATGCGTTAAAACTAAAATTTACAACAGTAATGGATGCGAACGTATGGATTTGGTTTATAGAAACAATTAGGAAGTTATGGGATAATGGTTACAATATGGGTGTTAATGGTAAATGCATGTTTAAGGAATCAATTTACAGATCTAAATAATTTATGATAGCCAACATTTCAAATACAATCTATGGTACACGAAGGGAAAATACAAATCAAGTTATATTTCTACAATAGTACAAATTACAAATAGTGCACACATTAATGCGAGATGGTTAACAGGAGGATGGAGCTAAGATCAGAGAACTGTTTAGGCAGTTCAATGTGAAGATGGATGTGGTATATGGATGTATTTTTAATAATGGAATTGTACGGTAGAAACGCTATGGGTACAATTTATGACATCTGAGAAACGTTAGTTAATTAATTATGGTGAAAAGTAAGGCGATGGATGGAGGATGGGGTTTATCAATTATCAGGAATATATAAATAAAAACTAGTGTATTATTTTGGTAAAGAGGTGGATTCTAAACATGAAAACTAAATAGGGTCGAGTTTTTAGGAAATTGCGATTTGTAAGACAGGGGATGGGGAGCTACTAATGTCGAATCGACTTGAGTTTGTATTTTCGTAAATTAGTAGTGTGATATATGCTGTATAAAATTAATGTGTTGGAATCTGTGTAAATTGTAGTGGGTAAACATGTCTAATGAAATGGAGCTTTATTGGTATAAACATTTGATTATGGACAATAGGAACAGATGGTAGATTTGATGTTTGTAGATACATGGAATTAAAATTGATGTGAGTGAGGAGGACTTGTGTAATTTGTAATGTGAGTATTGGTAGATAAGAATTAACATGGTAGATATGGAGTATTTGTTCGTAAATATATAGCTTTGAAGATGAGGTATCGATGGATTGTAAATGGTAAATTTTGAGAATCTTGAAAATTGGGATTCATCGTAGAAACATGATTGGAATAAAAGTGTGTACACTATATGAGACTAGGGTTCTATAAATAAATGACTGGTTACTTTGTAAATTAAAAATATTTATGAAACTTTGTATAGGAATGTCTGATTTAATGACTATTGCGGTAGAATTGCCATTTGGAGTGACGATTGGTATTTCGTGTAAGGTCATGTTAAAATTCTTTAGAGAAAAGATAAGTGTGTTTTCATGGCGTATGGATGAGCATGGCATGGATGGATGGAGGGTATGATGGAATGGATGGATCGGGATGTGAGGCATATTGCGTAGTGGAGAAAGTGCCCATAGAGGCCCATTGCGGTCATGGAAACTTAAGATAGGTTAAGAATCGAACAAATATAGGCACAATAGGATGTAGCGACAAATGGGAATTGTATTAAGTTATAGTAGATAATGGATGTGACATTATGCTGATATTAAATGATGGATGATGATGGATGGATGGAATGGAATGGTGAAAATGAGTGATGTGGGCTGATGTTAAAATGGCTACTATAAAGGTACTTGCGGCCATGGCATGGAATGGAATGGCTCGAATTGGCAGTGAAACCGTAAAAATCGGAATTACATGATAGAAATGATCATAGCATATAGAATGAGATAGATAGATAGATAGATAGATAGATCAGATAGATAGATAGATAGATAGATAGATAGATAGATAGATAGATTAGATAAGATAATTATAGATAGATAGATAGATAGATAGATAG